AATTTTCCCTTCTCCGGGGGAACATTCCCAGCTCTCCCATCCTTTCACAAACCTCTCCGGGGGAACATTCCCAGCTCTCCCATCCTTTCACAAATTGCACTGGATAAAAGGAAATGTCCTCAGAGACAAGCTGGAGGCTCAGCAGCTTTGGTTCCCCCAGCTGATGATTTTAATGGGTTTGGAAATGATGGGGCAGGGGAGGGAGATCAAGGAGAGAAGCAGCGCTGGAGGCCCGTGGCAACCGCGGCAATTCGGAGCAGAGGATCCGTGGCCATCTGCTGCCATCTAGTGCCACCCGGGCACCCCGAGCTCCTCCCTCTGCCAAAACTCCAGCCCTGCCAGTCCCACGGACCACTCAGGATGGACACACCGACCTTGAACCAGCAGTGTCCCCATCCCTGTCCCCAGTGTCCCCATCCCTGTCCCCAGGGTCCCCTCCCCTGTCCCAGCAGGGTCCCCATCCCTGTCCCCAGGGTCCCCATCCCTGTCCCCAGGGTCCCCTCCCCTGTCCCAGCAGGGTCCCCATCCCTGTCCCCAGGNCCCAGCAGGGTCCCCATCCCTGTCCCCAGGGTCCCCATCCCTGTCCCCAGGGTCCCCTCCCCTGTCCCAGCAGGGTCCCCATCCCTGTCCCCAGGATCCCCACCCGGGTCCCCCTCCCCTGTCCCAGCAGGGTCCCCATCCCTGTCCCCCGGGTCCCCATCCCTGTCCCAGCAGGGTCCCCATCCCTGTCCCCAGTGTCCCCAGCCGTGTCCCAGCAGGGTCCAGCCCGGAGCTGGGCTGCACTGGCAGGGCTGTGCCAGCTCTGCTGCTCCCTGTGCCTGTCCCTGTGCTGGGAGGGCTCGTCCTGCCCCGGGACACCCCGGGGAGGGGAAGGGGCCTCGGGAAGGGTGGAGGGGTCTTTGGGCACGGCCTGTGCTGCTGGCCAGAGCAGCCCTGCGACACAAAGGGGGCTCTGCCACGTCCCCCCCAGCCTGCACAGCTCCAGATGTGCGAGGGACCCGTGTGAGTGACCCAGCCGTGCACTGCTGGCACAGCTGGGGCACAGCTGGGGCACTGCCCGGCCTCCCTCCCCCCGGGGGCACAGGAAGGGACTGTGGTGGCCACTGAGGGGGCAGAGCCCAAGCCTGGGGACACGGGCCCAGCTCGATGGCATCAGGCAGGTCCTTGTCCCTCAGTGACCACAGCACTGTCACCCCTCCCTCTGTCACCGAGCTGGACGGGCTGATCCTCAAAGAGGATTTTTCCAATTTCATCACTGCAGGGACTTCTCCAAACGCCCTGCCCTGGGCAGGAGGAGGGAGGACACCCACGGGGAGCTGCTTCCCTCTCCAGCAGCTCCACAGGCCCTTCCTCAAGTCCCACCATGTCAGAAATCCTTGGGAGAGCCCTAAAGCAATGGGACTTTGGGAATGTTTAGGGATCAGTTCATTAATCCAGTCCTGGAGCTCAGTTCAGGTTGGATGATTCCAACCTCAATGACACTGATTTTCTGGGTTTGTTACCAGAGGAAATGTTGGATCCTTGATCCCAGCTGCCCATCCATGGACCAGGAAAGACCTGGAGGTGGCAGGGATCACAGAACCCCGGAATCATTGAGGCTGGAAAATCCCTCCAAGGTCACCGAGTCCAACCTGTGACTGATCCCCACCCTTGTCCCCATCCCAGGGCACTGAGTGCCACATCCAGGGATGGGCACTCCAACCCTCCCTGGGCCGCCCCTGCCAATGCCCATTCCACCCTTTCCATGGAGAAATCCCTGAGGAAATGGCTTCAGGGAAGAACCAGATACAACAACTTCAAAACCAGGCCTGAGGGAAGGAGAGCTTGGGTTGAGGTGGCCCCAGCCACAGCCTGTCGTGTGACAGTGGGGACAATGGAACACCAGGGCAGCTGCCTGAGGGCTGTCCCTGACCCAGGGCTGGACACGTCCCAGAAGGATTTTTCCCAGGCTGGGTGGGATCTGTGCTGGTGCAGTGACAGCCACCCACAGCTGGATCCCAGGTTTATGGGCCCCGGGGCAGGGTTAGGGTTTGGGATCTGTTCTCTCTGCTGGGGCCAGAGCCCTGGAGATCCCCTGGAGGCTGAAGGGGCAGGGGACAGAGAGCAAGAAAAGAGCCAGAGGAGCCAGGGGACTTTACAAAGTCTTTGTTGTCATTTCAGACCCTGATCGAGCCGCAGGTCAAGTCACAGGAAAGTGGCACAAACTGTGCAGGTCAACAGCACCTGGGATGGAGGGTTGGGAGGCCCTTCCAAGAATCCCTTTGTGAAACCTCACAACAGCCCTGTGAGGTAGGAAACACCCCCGGGGGGGGGCTGAGGCACAGAGAAATGCAGCCAAGGCTTGGGACAAGCCAACGACAGGGGCAGGAGCAGCCCTGCTCGGGTTCCCTTGGGCAGAGGAGTGAGAGCAGCTCCCGGAGCCACTGCTGGCCTGGCCCGGGAGCGGGGAACAGGCAGCGCTGGGGGGGCTCCTGAGCCCCTCAAAAGCACCCTGGGAAGCGGCTGCCACCAGCACTTGGGGCATTCAGACATTCCCAGCCTTGCAGGTGACCCCAGCACCGTCACCTTTTCCTTGTGCAGTCGGGCAGGAGGGCGGGAGGAGCCTGAGAACTCGGATCCTTCATGGCAATGTCCCAGCACTGCGTGGCCCAGCCCAAACTGGGCACCACGTTGTTCTGTCATGGCAAACGCCTCCCCGAGACCATGGCAGCGTGGAGCTGGGGGGCTCCCCAGGCCTGCAGGAGGAGGAGGAGGAGGAGGAGGTAGCTACAAGGACACCACACTGTCACCAGGGACACCACACGGTCACCAGGGACACCACACGGTCACCAGGGACACCACACTGTCTCCAGCATCTTCCTTTGGTGGGGATGTTCACTTCCCCCGGGTGACCCCGTCCCAGCCCGTGTGCAATGTCAAGAGGATCCAAAGCTGGGAGGGAAACGGGCCAGGAAGGGCCAGGAGCTGTGGTGGGATCTCCATGGTGGAAACTCCCCCCCCTGCAGCCCAGCCCTGGTGCCAATGTCCCCTGTCCACCCCCCACCACAGGTGGTGTGCTGAGTACAAATTCTGTCTTACAAAAATAGTCCTCTGGTATCAAAAGGGTTACTCAAACAAGGGACAGCCCTGTGGCCACAGCAGTGCAAATCACGAGAGCCAGCTCAGCAAGGGTGGGACAGGAGTCCTGGCATTGTCACTTCTTGGAGAAGGAGGTGGATTGGCCTTTGATGGCTGGGACTGGCCTGGAGCAAGAGGGAGCAGAGAGGAGATACTGGTGTGAGTGCAGACCCCAGCCACCCCCAGCACCAGCTCCAGCTTCCCCAGGCCAGGAATTCCCCCATGGACACGGCCCCAAGGCTGAGCTCAGGAGTGGATCCTTGGGGCTCCCACACCCCCAGGATTCAGCAGTGCACAAGGGCTGGGGACAGGAGTGACACTGCAGAGGACCTGGACTCATGTCCCAGCTCCAAACTGGACACCCCCCACCCTCCATTCCCCGGGACACAGGGGCCCCATCCCAGCTGGGACATGTCCTGCTCCTCCAGGAGCCCTGGGAACCAGGACTGGTCCCCATTTCCACCCCAGCAGGGCGATGTAAATGTTCTCTACTCACCTCTGAGGTGGCATCGGTCTGCAGGGGGGGAAGGAGAGAGCATCAGTGCTCATCCCTTCCCCCCCAAACCCAGCACAGCCCCAGCCAGGCTGGGAGGCCACAGGGACCCCCAAGGGTGGCACCTCCCTTATCCCAGACCTTCCACCACCCACCCCTGGCCAGTGCTTGTCCATCCCAGCCAGACCTGGGGGGGTCACTCCAGCCCTTCGGGATGTCCCCCCACGAGGCCCCCAGTGCCACCAGCTGATTTTCCCCATTTCCCCCCCTTCTCCCTGATTTTTCTCGATTTGCCTCATTCTCCCCTGATTTTCCCCATGTTTGGATCATTTTCCCCTGATTTTCCCCATGTTTGGATCATTTTCTCCTGATTTTCCCCATGTTTGGATCATTCTCCCCAACTTTTCCTCCTTCCTGCCCATTTTTTTGCCTCATTCTCCCCCGATTTTCCCCATTTTTGCCTGGTTTTCCCCGGGTCTTGTCCCTCCCCACTCACTTGAGCGGCCTCGTGGGGTGGCCCGAGGCAGCGGCGCTGAGGTTGTGGGGAGGGACCGTGACCAGCAGGGTCTGCCCGTGGCCAGGGGGCAGCTCCGTGGCCAGCAGGGGAGTGCCCGGCAGGGGCCGGCGCGGGGCTGGCTGCTTTGGGACCTGCTGGGAGCACAGGGAGAGACCAAACCCCGAGAGGAACATCCATGGGGCGCCCCCAAAGATCCGTCCCCTGCAGAGCTGGGGTCCCTCAAAGCCCAGAACAAGCCCCAAAAACCCCTAAAGATCCTCAGCTCTAAGGGATTCCTGCAAGGTTAGAGCAGCTCTGGCTCTCAGGGGTTGGGACAGCTCCTAAACTGAGCCCAAACCCAGCCTAGACCCAGCTTAAATCCAGCCCAACCCCAGCCTAGACCCAGCTTAAATCCAGCCCTAACCCAGCCTAGACCCAGCTTAAATCCAGCACAAACCCATTCCAAACCCAGCACAAACCCAGCCCCAATCCAGCCCAAATCCAGACCAAATCCAGACCAAACCCTACCCAGATCCAGACCCAACCCTAACCCAGTCCACACCCAGCCCAGACCCAGAACCAGCCCACACCCAGCCCAAACCCAATCCAAACCCAACCCAAATCCAGCCCAAACTCAGCTCAGATCCAGCCCAAACCCAACTCAAATTCAGACCAAACCCACCCCAAGCCCAGCCTAAACCCAGCCCAGACCCAGCCTAAACCCAATCCAAATCCAGCACAAATCCAGCCCAAACCCAACCCAAATTCAGACCAAACCCAGCCCAAACGAACCCAAACCCACCTCAAACCCAGCCTAAACCCACCTCAAGCCCAGCCCAGACCCAATCCAAGCCCAGCCCAGCCCCAGGGCTCACCTGCGGGGTCCTCACGGGGCTGCAGGGAAGAGGTTTCCTGGGAGGTGGCAGCTTGGCCTGGGAGGCGCCGGCTTTGGCGGGGACCAGGGGTGATCTGCTGGCTGGGGGAGGGGGCCTGGCGGGTTTGGGGTCCCTGGGACGGGGGGGGATGGGATGGGGAGCGGGGCGAAGGGGGTGGACGACATTGATGGGCTGAGAGCCGGGCGGGGCAGCGCTGGATTTGGGGAGGAAGGCGGTCCCTGGACCCTGCTGGGGGGAGAAAACAGAACTGGGGGAAGATCCTGGGTTCAGCCTCATGGCCCCTGTTCCCCTGGGTTGTCTCACAACAATCCAGGATGTGACCAAAAGTCTGGATTCTGTCAGCATTGGTTAAAACGAGGTGTGGCAGTGATCCCTTAATTTCAAAATGATAATAATTTGGAGAGAGGGAGTTTACATTCTCTATTAAAAAAAAAAAAAGCTCCTGCCTTTCTTGACAAACACCTGTCTTTCAAACCAAGACATGGGTGATGAGCTGAACTGCACATGCCCCGTTTGTTTTCCTGGGTGATGAACACTGCTGTCCCCTCCAGGCCTGGGCTCTGCTTTTACAGCCACCACTTTCACCATCCCAGCCCAAAGCTGAGGTGGTGCTCAGTGCTGAACCTGCCAGAGTTGATGGTTGGATTTGATAATCTTAGAAATGGACACGAGAGGGCATTTCCAGCCTTCCTGGCTCTCTGATTCTGTGTTTGCTCCTCACTCACCCCATGGGAACACACAGGGATGAGAAACGTGCTGGAGATCCAGAGCAGGGGCAGCTCTGGTGAATCCACACCAGCAGATGGAAAATAGCATCCAAAAATCCTGAATTCTTCCTAAATTCAGCCCTGGTGCTCAAAAAGCACCAGTGGATGCTAAAAGTTAAAAATTCACTGAAGTGTGGTACAGGATAAATAAAAGAACTTCTGGAAAATGAGGGAATAACCAAATGAAGGAATAATCAAACCAAGAGCAATGACCCAGAAAGGAACAACAGGACACCATAAATCAAACTACAGAGACAAAGAGCGACTTGGTTTGAATTTTAGGCTCATTAATATCATTAACACCAACCCCACCCTACCACAGGCTGTGATCATCCCTCACTCCCATCCATCCCTTTTCCATACAGGAAATTTCCCAGTGGAGGCTCCTGGCGATCACCAGGGGAGTTTGAGCTCAGTAAATTCAGTTTTAGGAGGGATGGGCACAGCTGGCCCTGGGCTCAGTGCAGACACGAGGCAGGACCAGCACAGGGCACCAGGGCTTGCCCAGGTCCTGGGAGCAGATGGGATGTGCACAGACCTCACATCCCAGCAGGGAAAACAAACCTGGCAGTGAGTTATCACTGATCTGAATGAGTTATCATTGATCTTAATGAGTTATCATTGATCTTAATGAGTTATCACTGATCTTGGTGAGTTATCACTGATCTGAATGAGTTATCACTGATCTTAATGAGTTATCATTGATCTTAATGAGTTATCATTGATCTTAATGACTTATCACTGATCTTAATGAGTTGTCACTGCCTTTAATGAGTTATCACTGCCCTCAGTGAGTTACCACTGCCCTCAGTGAGCTGTCACTGACCTTGGCAGGGTGGCTGGAGGCTGAAATGTTCCTCAGGGTGAAAGCAGCTTTGGGACGGGCACTGCTCGACTTCCGGCCGATGGATTTGTTCCTGCTGGGGATGAGGGACGTGGCACAATAAAGCAACGAGGTGAGCAACTCCTGTCTCAATTAACAGCTCATTAACAGCCAGCCCACAGTGCCGGGGAGCAGGGCTGGTCAGTGTGTGATGGGCAGCCTGGGAGGAATGAAATTCTCCTTCATACCAGGCCCCCTTCACCACGCCCTGGGACTGCCCTGTCCAGGGGACCATTGGTGTCCTGGGCTCAGGGAACTGAGCCTCGGATTTCCCAGGACAAAATTGTACAGACTCACCCCGGGGTCTGTGCAGCACCAGCTCCCCACACCCAGTGCCAGGCTGGGTGAGACAGACCCAGATCCCAGGGGGTGAAACAATCCCAAATCCCAATGGGTGAAACAATCCCAAATCCCAATGGATGAGACA